TGTTATAAACCAATGTTACCTCAATTAAAAAAAATGAATTCAGCAACATGCTTATAACTTAAATAAAAAAAGAAAGAACAAATTTGGAGGACTTACCTGATCTCAAAACTTACTATAAGTTAAAGTAATGAACACAGTGTTATATTCACATTAAGGATATGCATACAGATTAACGGAACAGGTATGAGTCCAGAAAGAGACTCAAAACCTATTGATTTTGTCAATTAATTTTCAACAAAAGTTCCAAGGTAATTCAATCAGGAAAGGATAATCTTGTCAACAAATGGTGCTGGAACAATTAGAAAGCCCTATGGGGAAAAAATGAAGCACGACCCTTACTACAAACAATAAACCAAAAATTAAGTCACAACAGACTACAGACTGAAATGTCAAAACTAAAACTAAAATATGTGCTCACACGAAGACTATACACAAATGTTCATAGAAACATTATTCAAAATAGTCAAAAACTGAAACAAATGTTGAACAACTGTTCAAGAAATGAATGAATAAAACAAATCATAGTATATTCATACAATGGACTACTACTAAGAAAAAAATTACCTTTATGTGCAATCTACATAGGTGAATCTCAAAAATATTACGCTGAGCAAAAAGCCCAGAAACAAAATATCACCAACATTGGGATTCCATTTGGCTGAAACTCTAGAAAAGACAAACCTAATCTATAATGACTAAAAGCAGATGAGTGTTTGCCTGGGGCCAAGGAATGGGGTTGTCTGATGGGAGAGGGGCACAAGAAAACTGTTTTTGAGATTATAGACATATTCACATCTTGATTGCAGTTGTTGTTACACAGGTGTAACATTTGTCAAAACTCACCAGTACTACTTAATATCTCAATAAAGCTGAATTTTTAAAAAATCTAATAGCCTGCCATAACTTCCCCACTTGTAATTCCCACTCTCTTGAGGCAATTATCTAAACTCTTTCATCTGTTTTTTCCATTTACCACTATATTTCTAAATATAGTTTATAGTGCTATTTCTTGATTTTTTTTTTAAGTTTTAGATATTTACAATATTCTCCTATAGTTAAGATAATTTAGCTCTCTTATACCACTATTAACTCATCTCCACATATACTTCCCCACGTATATTTCCCTGGCCCACATCCTCCCAATATAGTTATTATAATTATTAAATTACTTTTGAACAAACTTGGAAAACTTTTGTTTTCCCTGCTGTTAACTACTGGTCTGAGGGTTTAGTGGTTTTGTTTTGTTTTGTTTTGTTTTGTGAGGAAGATCAGCCCTGAGCCAACATCCATGCCAATCCTCCTCTTTTTGCTGAGGAAAACTGGCCCTGGGCTAACATCCATGCCCATCTTCCTCCACTTTATATGGGACGCCGCCACAGCATGGCTTGCCAAGCAGTGCGTCGGTGTGCGCCTGGGATCCGAACCGGCAAACCCCAGGCCACCGCAGCAGAGCGCGTGCACTTAACCGCTTGTGCCACTGGGAGGGCCCGGTTTAGTGTTTTTGTTGTCGTCGTTTGTTTGCTTAGCTTTTAATGTAACAATTATTAATTTACTTCCAAATTATACTTGAGCTTCAAAACTTGTCTCAATATAAAACAACACATCAGAAAAACCATCAGTGCCATTTTATTCTCTGACATATCCTTCCTGAAGCTCTCTACCCTCCTACTGGACTTCTGTTCTCTCAACCTGAAGCACAGCTGTCATCCTGCTAATTCCCTTATTCACAATCCTGAAAATGCCTTTCCTTTTTTTCTCTAGAGACAGATCCCATTTCCAAAATCTCTTACCTTTCTATTCTTGTGCTAAAGCATATTTCCTTCTAGCAATCTGAGAAAATGTCTAAAAGTATCCCTACGCTGAGATGTGATTCATAATTTGCCTGAATATGTAACTCTTTCTAAGTCTTTGCTCCATTCTCTTCCAGTTTCCAATATTACTGTTGAGGAATCTGATGTGCCATTATCTACAATCCCAATCTTTTGGGTGGAACTATTTTTGTTTCGCTGTAAACTTTTAGGATCTGTTTTTTGTGTGCCTTTTTCTAAAATTTTGGTAGGAGCCTTTTTTTTTTGCTCCTTGTGTTGGATGCCTGGCAGGTCCTTTCAATCTGGAAACTCACATCCTTTAGTTTCAGCCAATTTTCTTTAATTGATTCTTTGACTTTTTCCCCTCCATTTCCCCTAGTCTCTTGCTACAACACCTAACAATCACTTGTTAAATGTTCTGGATTGATCTTATCGTTTTTGTGGTTTTCTCAATCTTTTTGTCCTACTGAGAGATTTGCTCAATTTTATCCTCCAACTCTTCTACTGAATTTTGTAATTCTATCACATTTTTAATTCCCAAGAGCCCTTTCTTATTCTGTAAATGTTCCTTTTTATAACTTTTCATTTCATGAAGTTAATTTTTTTGTCACTCCAAGGATGTTCTTTTTTGATATATTTTTTCTGCTCCCTGTATTGTTTCTGTATCCTCTGAATTCCTTTCTTCCATCTATTTTGTTCTCTCATGTGAGAAAGTTTCCTTAAATGTCTGGTGATCTTTGGTTTGCTTCTCACATAAGAGTGAAGCACTTACAAGATAATCAGAGGCTGGCAGTAAATGAGCAAGACTTGTTGACTCAGCCTCATCTTAGGGAGATCAGGTGAAATCCAGGCGTGTTTCACTAATAGTGTAGGTCTTTTCTCTTGGGCCAGCCTCCCCAGAGAGAAGTCCTTCATTCTCCTGCTTATTGAATATAAACCTAGCTGCCAGAATTCTTAGAGCTAAGCAGGAGAAAGTGTCTCAATAGTCAGAATGCATTTTTCACTTAAATCTCTCCACCCCCACCACTGTCTTTATTTTTTAGAACCACCTCTGCCCTTTTCGTTCAGCCATACCTGAGTATTCCCAAGATTCAGATCTTCTCTAATTCATCCCAACAAAAGGTAACCTTTTGGACTTCTGTTGGGGAAGGGAGGACAGTAGCCAGGATATACAAGCTAGAGAATTGAGGATCTAGGGTTTAAGAGCTCCTTTTAAAACTTACAAAAAATCCTTTTCCAGCTTTATTTTATACCCTTGACTTAGGAGGTAAATGGTGTCTCTAATTCTTGAAACTTTCAGGTATTCTGCAGTTCATATCACCTTGCCTCTTGTTAGCTTCTTCCCCTGCAGGGTAGGTTTCAACTTTCTCTGCTTGCTAAGTCAGTAACCACAATGTTTAACAGGGGCCTACACAGGGGTTTTTAACATGTTTTATGGTGATTACAAGAACACTGGATAATATGGTGTGCTCTAAAAGATTAACACAGTAGGTCTGGGTTGACCAAACCCTGCACATCCCATAAAAAGGTTTGTCCTATACCTGGCTCCTGGAAAATAACCTCTAAACCTTTATTATCCTGCCTTTTAAGAGAATCTTTGTTTATCTGAAACCTTGGGCCTTGTCAGATAGTTTATGCTAACAATGCGATTTATGGTGGGGGCCTAGGGGCACATGGTATCAGCCTGACCTCTGGATGGGTTGGAGAACTAAGGTCAGCCAAGCCTATATAATGAATCCCCAATAAAAAACGTGGACATCAGGCTCAGGTGCACTTCCCTGGTTAGCAATGCCACACATCACTGCTGGGAGAATTAAGCATTGTCCATATCACTCCACTGTGAGAGGAAACTAGAAACTTGGGCCTGGTCTCTCCTGGACTCTGTCCTATGTGCCTTTTCTATTACTGATTTTAATCTGTATATTTTTGCTATAATAAACCAAAACCATGAATAGAACAGCTTTTCTGAGTTCTGTGAATACTTCTAGTGAATCACTGAGCCTATGGGTGGTATTGGGGTGCCCTAAATGCACACTGTTATCTATCTGAATTATTTTGTACATGAGAAAGTAATTCAATTAATTCTAATGACATCTAAAAAAAGCAGGTCAGGCATCTGAAAAAAAAAATCTATCAATGTCTCCCCAACACTATCTACCCCCAACAAAAATCTATCAATGTACAAAGGAAGTGCCTTAAGCAGCCTGTGCATAAAATACAGACTGCAAAGGTGAGGTAAAATCAGAATACAGCTCTAATTTGATTCCATCAAAGTCAAAGTCTTATAACAACTCATAAGGCCAAGCTTAAAATATCTGCTAAATCTTCCATGTTCATTAATAGAATATCCCAAATAGATATTTGACTATTTGAACTAAACTTATTGTCCTATTTTATGATAAACAATCTCTTTGAAATACTATTGATACTATTACACTCTGACAAAAATCTTTTTCTTCATAGGTCGTACAACTGCAAACTCTGCCCAGAATTAGCAAGAGTTCTAATTAACAAAGTTCAACTGAAATATTCACTAGATTTTTCCCCCCTCTGGTATTCTCTTTATCTCCAAGTAATTCCTAGAATAAAAACTTGAAACACTTCTGAGACTAAACAAATTTCAAAAATTCTGAGATCAATCCTTCCCCATTCTTCAACCCACTGAGACTCTTTGGAAGGACTGCAATATGGTTGAGGGGTATCATGACATGTTCCTTAAAAGACAGCAGATATAATGCTAATTCTTCAGAAACACGTTTATGAAAAGATTTGCATAGTATCTAAGAGAGTCCCTTGTAACTAAATACTTAAGAAATTTCTTAGTCAATGATAAATTATTTATGGATCTATTCTCCATTATTTATAAAATGCTGAATATCAAAAGATCTCTGAACACAGGGTGAGTGATGTAACCATCCAAACAACATTATATCCAATGTTTAAGTGTCCAATAATTGTATTATAATCAATATTAAGAAAGAGACAGAAGTCTAGCCCTTACTGCCAACTTAGAAACTGAACTACAACTTTGACCCCAAAACAAACAAAATCAAAGTAGGACACCATAGATGGTACAAATATATATATATATATATATATATATATATATATATATATATATATATATATATATTTAAGTCCAGTCAGGTACATATCCATAACCACTTCATATCACAAATCTCAGCTTATTACCTCTTTAATTTTTTCCCTTTTCTTTCTTATGTCATTATCTTCTGGGTCTCCACCATTTATTCCTATAAGGTTTGGTATAGGGACTGGTGGCAGGGGCTTTTTCTCTTTCATCTTCATTTCTTGGACTACTTTATTTTTCTCTGTCTGAATTTCTGCTCGGATTTCCTCTCTTGACTTTTTTAATTTTTCTTTTGCTTCTTCCAGGGCCTTCTCATGATCAGCTCGAATTTTATTTCTCAAACGTTCTTCTTCTTCCCTGTAAGAAGAGGAGAAAAAAAGACTAGTAAAAATGACCCTTAAGAACATCAATCCTTAAACATAATTGAAAACTTAAAGTTTTCTCCACCAAACCCGGAGAGTTGCTTTCTACTCCTGCCATTAAAAAGTAAGAATGATCTGTGAGAGAGCCTCAGATCTACCTGCCTAAAGAATAGATAAATATATCTCTGTATGAGAAAGAAAATGAACTCTGGATGCCGAAGAGCAAATATTTCACACAGTGGAAGACAAGAGAACCTAGAAAGTTACAATTTCAGGGCCAAGAGAGAACAGAGAAAATAGCAATCAGTAACTTATCAGTAGACACATGAAAAAAAAAAAGAGAGAGTGAGACAGAGAAACCAGTGAAAAATCAGATGGGGAAGAGAAAATAAAAAATAGAATTAAATATCAAGAGGGGACAAAAATATAAACATAGGGTCAAAGAAAGAGATAAGCGGAAAAGATAAAAGGATGAGAAATGTTTCATTTGTTATATAGTACATCATATGCTTCTAAAACTTTTACATTTTGGAATTACCACAGATCTTATAGCACAATGGTCCAACTGATGTGGGCATGACTACTTAAAACTCTCTTGTGCCCTTGTTAAAAAGACATACTATGATTTAACAGGTCTATACGAAACTCATGAATCTGTACTATTAAGAGCTCCCCTCTATTCTGGTGTGCACACAGGTTTGGAAATCACTACTGCAGTGGACACCTACTGGGCTTCCACCCAACCCAACTTTTGTTTGAGTTCAATGTTCTCTCCACCTCCACCCCAATCTACATGAATAAAAACAGGAGTGGTAGTTACTGTTGCCCAAATCAGCCAACGATGACTACTCTAAGGGTAAACATCTAACCCAACAGTCACCCGAGTCACCTCTCCAGAAATTTAATTCTCCAGAAATTTAATCAAACTCTGTAAATAGCTAGACTTATAACATTGTTGGTGGGAATGTAAAATGGTACAGCCACTCCGGAAAAGTTTAGCAGTTTCTTAAAAAACTAAATATGCCACTATCATAGAATCCAGCAACTGCACTGGGCATTTATCCCAGAGAAAGGAAAGCTTATGTTCATACAAAAACCTATATACAAGCCAGTCACAAAAAGACAAATAATGTATGATTCCACTTATGTGAGATACTCAGAGCAGTCAAAATCATGGAGACAGAAAGTAGAGCGGTGGTTGCCAGAGGTTGGGGCACGGGAGAAATGGGAAGTTATTATTCAATGGGTATACACTTTCAGTTTTGCAAGATGAAAAGAGTTCTGGAGATGGATGGTGATGATGGTTGCACAACATGAATGTATTTAATACCACTTCACTGTACAGATAAAAATGGTTAAGATAGTATATTTGATGTTGTGTGTATTTTACCACAATAAACAAAACTTGAAAAAAAAACCTAAACACAAATGTTTACAGCAACTTTACTTGTAACAGGCAAATACTGGAAACAACCCAGATGTCCTTCAACAAGTAAATGGTTAAACAGACCACTGTTAATACTGTGGTATAGCCACACCATGGAATACTACTCACCAATAAAAGAAATAAACTATTCATACACAGAACTTGAATGAATTTCAAAGGTATAATGTGAGTGAAAGAAGCAGAAGTCTCAAAAGGTTACATTCTATACGATTCCTTTTACATGACATTCTCAAAAACACAAAAATATAGAGATGATGAATAGATTAGTGGTTGCCAGCAGTTATGGATAGAGGGGATATAAAGTAATAATACAAGAGAGTTTTTCGGGATGATAGCATTGTTACGTATCCTAATTATAGTGGTGGTTACACGCATGTGTACATGTGTTGAAAATCATAGAACTGTACATCAAAAGAGAAAAATACTAATTTACAGCCTAATATTAAAAATAAAATGTTAATGTTTAGAGAAAACATTGGATTGCTAGCAGTGAGAAGGGGCAGATGAGGAAAACAGGAAAGAGAAAAGAGGGGGAGTGCAGCAGAGCCAGAAAGTCAGAAACACACAAAGTCACTCTGGTAGCAAGAAAGAATCCGGAGGGCCTGCAGACAGACTAGATATAGTAAGAACCCGGCAGGGAGGAGCCAAGGTTGGCCCTTAATGCATCCAAGAGGAATTCTGGGCTGATCTGTTCAGGAGACTCAGGCAGATGAGGGCATCATCAGCACACAGGTGCAGAATGAAGTCTTAGATAAGATAACCAAGGTAGACACAGGCAGGCACCACCAACAGCCTTCCAATCCCCCTCCCCCTCTCCTCCCAACAGAAAAACACTGTGCCTAGCTCCAGAGAACAGATCATAATCCATCTATGCCCAGCAAGTCTTTCCCAGATGCCCTAGCAGCTGGGGTGGCCACATAACCCCATTCCAACCAAAGAGACAAAAGAGGACTACCGAGAAATATCTTCCTTTATAGATTAAAAAATGGAGCCATTTGAGACAAGGGCCTTTTAGCTACTAACAAACTTACCCAACCACCTATGCCTGTCTTCTAATGTGGTTATGAGGCCTAAAGCTGTGATAGTCATCTTTCAATCAAGAGGCAACAAGCCTGGGACAAATGTTCAACACTGTTCAGGGAAGAAGAGAAAGAGGGAAAATGCCTCCTGATATTACTGAATTGCAGCCAGGGCCCTCAACTGCCAGTTCCCAGATTTCAGATTCTGTGGAGTAACTGTCAGTTGGCTGTTCTGTCACTTCCAGCTGAGAATTTTCCCAACTCACTAGCTCACTGAGCAAGCATGCACATAGAGTCAGGAAAGCAGAGGGCCTGGGACTAAGCCTGGAAGAAGAGCAATAACAAACAGGGATGACTGGTTCTTTCAAGGGCAGTTCCTGTCCTGATAACAAGTGGGAGAGTCTCCACAGGGAATCAAGCTTGCCATTTCTAGCCCCAAGCACCATGTTACCTGCTGAATGGCACATGGAAGCCGCCACCATATTTACAATAGCTTGTAGGCATCACTGTGGAAATATCTTCACCCACCAGTGAACCTCTATAAAGAGTCAGGTATTATATGCCACTTTCTAGAGCCCACCCTGAGGGGGCAAGGAATATGGGCCACAACTCATTCCACATCCCCTCTCCAGAGCTTCAGAATGCACATGGGTATTTTAAAGCCTCTGAGAAATTCTACAATAGAGATGCCTGTCTAACACAACACTTTCCAAACTTAGTCACAGTCCCCTTTTTTTGCACACAACCCGTTTTAGCACGCTATGAACACACTGACGTAGAGGAAATGCCTCAAACTGTGCCATCGACCAAGCCTTTGGTAGAACCCTGCCACTTTTTTGCTCTGTGACATTAGATGTATGTCACCTCTCTGAGCCTCCTTCTCTTGTCTGTGAAAAAAGAACCCCTGCCAACCTCACAAGATTGTTCTGAGGATTAGATGAGATGACACATGAGTCTAAGAGTACAGAAAAGTCATTATCAACTCAGTTTCCTTCCTTCCCTTACTATCTACTCTCCTCCTCACCACCATCACCCCTACCACACACACACACACACACACACACACACACACACGCTCACACAGAGACATCTAAGATTTGAGCTAACATCAGCGTCCTCAGGACCAAGACCAACATCCAATGACATCTTGCTACTTCTCGGCTTCCCTGCACTGGGTGACAGAACGCTTCTGGGCAAACCCCCAAGGATTTAGAGGGTACCAAATGCTCTTAAAATGGGGCCTGCCACTCGTAGAATTGGCAGAGAGCTGTGCCATCTCTCTACCTTACTGACTCCATTGCCAGCACTGGCCTTTGTCCAGGTGTCTAGAACAGCACTCATGGCCTTTGGGATTGCCTTAGAAATTAAAGGCACAGTGGCCATGAGTGCAGGGAAGCCTACTTTCATTTATTCTTCTTCTAACTAAATGCTAAGATCAATTGTTTCTCTACAAGTAAAGAAGCAGATTTGATAGCAACACGTATGTGTGAATAATTTTCAAATTACACAATTTTTAAAAATCATTTTTAAAAATAAAAAATTGAATCCTCTAAATTTTAGTGCTCTAGAGGAAAGCCCCAGTCACCTTATCCCACTTTAGTTATTGTTATGGTAGCCAAACACTGTTCATCAGAACCTATATAATACCATATTGTGCAGAGGTTTATTCAAAGACATTCTGAAAATCTAAAATGTCTATAAATTCATTTACATTCTCAAAAAGAATTATTTGTTTAAGAGTTTAGTGACTATACTCACCATTTCAGAATAACCAACAAGAACTAGAGTTCAAAGAAAGACCAAGTAGCCTAGTCCCTGAGAGGAACTCGAGTCTAAGGAATTCAGAGAGACGTCTTGTTAACTAGGTGCCAAGAAGAATCACTTAGTGGTTGGAAAAAAAGTGCTTAAAGTAAAAGGACTTAATCCAAAAGTCAGGAGACAAGGATTCTAGTTCCAGCTCTGTCCCCAAGAGTCCCTCTGCAACCTGGCACAAACCACGAAAAAACCCCCAAGATCAGTACTTCCTTCAAGAAAGACAGGAAAATAGGTATTAATACTACCCTGACTATATTACTACTCGAATAGTGGGATCCAAGGTAAGTAAAAGTACTTAGTAAATTGTAATGTTCTATACACGTCAGCCATTAAATTATAGCAACCCTTCTAACCTATTTCAAAATAGAAGTGAATGCAGCAATCCCCCCACCTACCAAAGTAAAGAATGCACTTTATTCCCAATTTCCCTTTCTTCTTTAAGAGTATCTTTTCACAATAATCATTTAGCAGCACCACAAATTCTCTAGCTAGTTTTCTTCCTTGTATATCTTAAATTATTTTCATTTTGGTCTCCTTTCAAGATGCCCCTCAAATTTTGTTTTAGTGGCCAAATTTCTAGATTTTAAATTACACCAGCTGGGTCAATTCTTTTGGATGTTTATTTTCACCTGGATGATCTTTTACTTACATATTTTTAAGATTTTTTTTTTTAACTTTGATATCATACTCATGTTGAACTTCCATTTGTAAATG